CGACTGTGAAGTCATAAGCCTCAAAGTCATAGTTTTCCCATGTTACTTGATCAAGAATGAAACGATCTACACGATCCATGGCATTCTAGATCAAAACATTGAAATTGAAAAAAAAATTATTTGTCAAATTTTGACAAATGAATTATTGTTGGATTTAGAATGGCATTCTCCATCGAAATAATTAAAAATATATAGGATGTTACATTTAAAAATCGAAAGTTGAGGTCATTTCCGGTCAAACCGGAAGAACGGCAAAGTAAATAAATATGCCAAAAAATGTAAATTGAACAATAATACACAACCCCCAAATTTCGTTTTTCTATTTCCAATAATAAAAAGTTATAAGGGTGAGCCACCTTAAAGATTCACCCGGTAAATTTATATACAATAAGAATATAACAATAAGAATATAACATATAAATATACTTGGTCAGTATTATATCCATTTCGTAGAAATAAATCAATCAATTTTTTCATTCCCATAAGAATATACAGTATCGGAAGTCATCAATTTAGGATGAATATGAAAGAATAAATGGATAAATAAATAATTGAAAAAATAAACAAATATAATCATGAACAGTGTAAAAACACAGAACAATCAAGTATCTCTGTGACGGACTGAATATCATTTCCATTTCTCTGTAACTCTACTGACAGTTCAATCTTACCCATTATGTGGTTCAACAGATGGAGACTTCTGGGGAGGCGTTGGAGGTGATCTTGGACCAGGTGCTTGTTTCCCTCCTTGAGCAAACATTTCATCTACAAATGTATTTCGTGGTTGCGGCCCTCCCGTTTTTCTCAGCAAAGCCATTGGATTATCTGGAATAATTTTGGTCATATCTGGTCTTTCTAGAACTTGATCTCCTGCCTGGATTTTCTGGGTGGGTAATGGTCCTGTCGGTGGAGGAGGCGGTAGAGGTACGGTATTGTTTGGTGGTGGCGGTGGGGGAGGTACTCCTCCTCGCATTGGCGCCGGAGGAGGAGGTCCAGAAGGAAAAACTTGAACCTGGGGTTGGGGTCTCATAGCTGCTAATGTCGAAGGTGGAAGTGAATCGTAATTTTGGGTTTGCGGAGGTCGCGGCTTCGGAATGTCTCCGGCTCCTGCCAGGTTAGCATTCTGTTCTATCCTTCGAGCCATTCGAGGTGATCTCACATCAGATAAGTTGATACCTCCGGGGGTATAAGTGAAGGGTTTTTTATCTTTAGTCATCATTGCGTTCTGTACACACGGTGGAGGATCCATATTTCTATTTGATATCTAAAAAACAGTATTGAGTTAAGTACCAAATCCAAATATTTCCCAAATGTAGTTTTATGAGTGGAAGAACAACACAGTAGCACTTGTGCTAACTGAGTTGAACTTCGCCTTTTGTTATGTCAGCAACTAGCTCTCTAATTTTTCTCGACGACCATTGACTAAGGCTATTAGTTCTATCGAACCTATTCCATCAGCATAAATGACTGAGTTATCTCCTATCTGAATGGCAATTTTGGAATCAAGTGGTTTTAGCTCATTAAACCATTCTATATGAGAGGTCATGTGTCTGGAGGCAGCACTATCAGCAAGCCAAATATCTTCACATCCATGGGCTATAATATTCTTTTCTTCGGCATCTAGTGCTTGATTGTGTTCTCGATTGTTGATATTAATTTTATATTCCTGATTACTATCACGACTATTTTCACCATATTTGTTGATTCTTTTTCTGCATTCTGACTTCAGGTGTCCTCTTTTCCTACAATAGAAGCACACAATGTTTTGTTTGTTCTTAGCTTTGGAGGAATTACTTTTATCGACACTTGAATTGTTTCTCTTATGGTGGAATTGCTGCATCAGCAAATGCATTTGAAATTTCTTCCATTTGACTTAACCTCAGCTCTTTCTTCAAAATTCTAGCTGTCAAGTTATGCTGCTTAGCATAACTTTGTTGACCAGAAGATCTTTGCTCGTGTATGAGTTTGATTCTTGTCCACATTTCTGGAGCAGTTTCACAAGACATTATAGTTTAGAGTTGGGAGAATTCCATCGATGTAGACATCAGAAGCATTGCTTTCGCATTGAGATCATCCCAATCCTTTCTTTCCTCGCAAACTAATTCACTTGGACGTTGGTTGGTTCCATTAACTAAGGTAATTAAACCCTCAGCTCTGAAAATTATTTCCATTTGAAATTTCCATAACTGGAAATTGTTGCCATCAAACTTTTGGATACTGAGACTTCTAAACTTGTCCATTTTATTCCTTACTGTACCTGAACTTTACGTTTTCCTCAGGAAGTAAAACCAATGTGACAATGACAACTAGAAGAGTCACAATTTTCTCCAAATTCAATACAGGGATGCTGGTTTTTTCTGGAACGTTTTCTTCTATTATCAACTTCAAGAACAATTACTCATTCGTGATCTGGGCCCATAACCTTTTGGAAATACCCAATAAACTGTGGAAGAATGAGTAGAATGAACCAAACCAAAACTGTTTATTAATTCAACTATCTCACATCAACTACTATCACCTAGCTACTAAACAAATTGTATATCAACGCAGTTGACAAAGTTTATAAAATATAATACCTTAGAACATGCTGATATGATTCCTTGCGATGTTGAAGAGCCTTGTGATATACTTGAACTAGCCGAGTTGACATGGGCATCAACATTTAATTCTTGAGGTGAACATGATGATGCTCTAACGCTGGAGCTAGCTGTTGGGATTTTTTTTCAACAATAGCCTTTTTATAAAACCTTTTTATAAAACAGATTGATCGATGTAACCCTCAGCTACTGTTGTAGATTTTCATCCTCCGTGCTTCTCAATATCCCTTATATTTCCTCCTGATTCTGCTAGCAAAGAAGCAGATCTTCTGAAACCTGACCTGTATATGCCTTAGGTTCCGGGAGGTTCAGAAAGTCAGCAATGGTAGAGGGCATTTCCCAAATGTGTTTATACCAACTAGGTTGACACTGAATGTATAATTTGAGTAGTTCGGAAAAAAACGTTGATGATTGATAACAGAAGGGCGTAATGCAGCGTATTTATTGAAATAGTCAATGTTATTTTCAACAATACAAGAAGAACAACCTTTTTTTTTGTTTTTGTACTTGTATTTTGAACAAGCAATGATTTCTGCCAAGGTTTTGGAGATTCCTTCAACGGTGGAGACTGAATATTAGGGCTGTCCTGACTCACAGGAGGACTTGAAGGTGAAACTATGCGTCTTTGTTGTTGTTGATCAGCAGGGGGTATATACAGGGAACCCAGATGTGCTGTACTCGTTTTGATTTCTGGTTGCACATCATTCTGTCGGGGTTTCATTTGTTGCCTCTCAATCACTGGAGGCTGATAGTTCTTGGAAGGCTCATTTTTCACATCTGGAGGAGACCTTTGTGGTGCAGGTTGGATTTTGATTTGTGAATTCTGGAGATGCGGTTGATATTGAGGTGACTCAGGTTGATATTGGTGATGCTCACGTTGATGAGTGTGTGATACTGGTTGTTCAGGTTGGTAGGGGAGTTGATGTTTTTGCGGTTGCTGTAGTACAGGCGAGATTGGAGCTCCTCTCCCATTTAATGGCGGCTGATTACTAAATGATATCATGATATTAGTAAATTCATGCACTATACGCTCTAAGGTGGCTCACTCCTATAACTTTTTTATTATTGGAGACAGAAAAACGAAATTTGGGGGTTGCGTAATATAGCTCATTTGTCAATATTTGACAAATAAAATCATATTCATTCCAATTTTTATTTTTTGATGCAATGGATGGTGTAAATCGCTTCATTCTTGATCAAGTAACATTGAAAAACTGCTACTCCGAGGATTATGACTTCACAGTCGTTTTAAGAATTATTTCACAGTCGCAAACATTAATTTTTCCAGTTAACTCTGTGAAAGATCATTTTACCACACACTTTCACTTTATTTTCTCTATTTTTCTGAATAATTGCAAGAAAATTGCAAATTACTCCATTAAGGTTATACATTTTCTAAATGACCGCCTTCTTGATCACGGCAAAGTTCAACTTTTCCATTTATTGCGCGCATCACATTGATTAGCTGTTATTCCTTAGTGATGTTCTGGAATGCCACCCTTACTTCATGTAAGGGTGTAGCGGAGTAAGATTCGGTGATCTAGAATATGGAAAAGAAATAATACATTCATTTAAAAATATGAAAGCCTTAGGGCAAGTGTCTTAAGGTGAAACATCGATGTATACCAGTGAGGATGACACCATTCCCTGTAAGTGCAATTTGTTACCATTCATTTAAAGTAGAACTCATGTGAATGATATCTGATTTTTATTCCACAACGAATGTTTGAAATACAAACTGAGTAGAGAAANACCATCGCTTTGGAGTAGCCATTCCGTTGAAGATCATTTTTGATGATGTCTAGTTCCTTCTCGAGACGTTCCTTCGTATTACAGAGCGCGAAAGCACGGGTAATACGAAGGAATGTCTCGAGAAGGAACTAGACATCATCAAAAATGATCTTCAACGGAATGGCTACTCCAAAGCGATGGTAGAAAAGACTTTGGCTTAAAGACAGCAGGAGCTTCGCAAGGAAGAAATGCCATCACAACCAGTGCTTGCACTTCCCTACATCACAGGATTATCGGAGAGGATGAAAAGAATTGGTTCCAAGTAAATTGGGTATTCGGTAAATGCAAGTGCAAGTGCGGAAAATCCTATATTGGTGAAACTAAGAGGCCATTAAATGTTCGCATTGCCGGGCACAAGAAACACACCCAGCGAGAGGAAACCAGCAAATCAGGAATAGCAGATCATGTTTGGACCCATCAACACAACATCAAGTGGTCCCAAGCTGAGATCTTGCACAGAGAGGAACATTGGTTTAGGTGATAATTCAAGGAAGCCGCATACATGCTGTCCAACAATGTATTCAGGCAAGCTAGCCAACTCCCGCCAAACGATCATCTCCCACTGAACCAGTAATGCGAAAAAATGGAAAGGGGGGATAAGTGAAAGTACTCGAACGACCCATAAATAGTCATCTCTCGGAGGAATCTGTCCAGTCATCACCCGAAGACGATTGTGGCTTGGAATCTCTCAACTTTTTTTATTTACATTTATTTGTATTTCTTTATTTTTGTTCAATCGTTTCAGTTTTACTTGTAATTTATTTCACTATTATTTCACTTCAGCTTCATAGTTTCATAGCTTCAAAGCTTCATTTTCAGCTATTTATTTTTAATTCTTTTTTTTCAGTTGGTTCGAGGATTTCAAATCTTTTTACATATTAGACAATGGAAGTCCGAACTAGTGAAAGTCATCATGAAACATTGTCAATCACCTTCAAACAAACTCCTAAAAATATAACCCCTTCAATCCAAATGAAAACCCAAGAATGTATCTCGCAGGACACTGAATAGTTCCATGAGTGCCAATTCACTTTCCTAGGAAGGTGTCATCCAGATGTTCTCTCACGACTTGAGAATTGGATGGTGGCGCTCCATCTTGTTGAAAATAGATATCAACTTGGTTAGCCAGTGGGAAATCTTCAATGAAATCATTTATTTGATTTCTAAGGAACTGTAGATATCTTTCCGCAGTCAGTTGTCTGTCGAATTGTGCCATCCACCGTGAATCAGCCTGTATACTTAAGCATACTTTTCATTAGTTATAGTTTTACTGTTTTTTACTTTTCTTAAATGAATATTATTGTTCGTATATTTGGGTTAACCTATTTCAAATAAAGTTTATCTTCTTCTTATTCAATGAAAGCTTCATAAAACTCATTTGAATATTTTTTGCCGCATAAAGAGTTGTTTGGAGAAGTACTATCAAGGTTCCAGCTAACTTTCCCCACATTCAATGTGATCCCAAAATCGATTTCCCTATATAAATTTCAATAAACTTTTTGCAAGTTAATGTTGGTCATGATGATACTATAAAAATGAAAGTTCCACCACCAATAAATATAGAAGTACTACAATACCACTTTCATCTAGTATTTTGAAAACCCTTGATGGTATATGTCCTCCTCTATACCTAGGATTTTCTTCGTCATGGATATTTAAGTCTGAAATATTCAAAAATGGAATATTTAGGCTTATAATATCTGTAGTACGTAGGACTACTTGAACGTAATTGAAGATTCTCACCTTGTTTGAATGTGTTCGACATATTCTGATCAACATCTTTCACCTTCATTTTGCCAATTTGTTCAGGCTGCTGGAAGTTTTGTGGAAACCTGGGCGAATGTTTAGTTATCGGAGTATCCTCATCATCTTCGTCTTCATCGGTGTTTGTGATTTTCTGAATTATTTTGAAAGAGTTTGATTGCGTAGGATTATTTCCAAAACTTTGCTGTCTGCTGAAAGACCTGAATTCACATGAATTTTTATTCTGTTGTTATCGAAACATCCAAAACCTTACCTTTCACTGCTTGGAGTGGGAGGAGTTGCCGAACCCTGGTGAGTACCTTCCACGCGTATTGGAATTATCCTAGCTCCTTGGCTATCAATTTTTTTCTGTTGGGGAGGTACTCCTGGACCTGGATCTTGGAAGACAAGGGGTTGAGTAACATAAACAGCATTCGGCTTCCTTTCTTCGGAACTTGGGAAGGAGGAGGCTGGGTTGGTACGAATTTCTATACGTACACCAATGGGCTGCTGGTTAGGACGTGATTGCTGAACTGGTTCAGGTTGCTGCCACTGCTGTTGTTGATTAGAACGGGGTTGTTGAACTGGTTCTGGTTGATACCATTGCTGTTGCTGATTAGGACGTATTTGATGCACTGGTTCGGGTTGCTGTCTTTGCGGTTGTTGTTTTGGAACTGACGGAGGAAAACTCTGGAAATGGGATATCTTCGTCAAATGAAGGGATATTTATTAATGATATAAATTTGAAATTTATATTTTTACAGAACCCAACACTGGGGCAAAGACAATCATGAAGGTAGTATGGAAACCTTTGAAAATGTTGGTTTGATGAGATGAATAGCCATTTTCATCAGTACATGGGGCTGCAGTGTTCACCGAAGATTCGAAAGAAAAAGATAAGTCTATTTGTTCCAAAGCAGCAGGAAACGTTTTCTGGAATAGGATTTGACGCTGAATGAGGGGTTATCTATATTTTCGAAAATAAAGTTGAATAAAGAAAAGTTGAAACCTATTTTTTCAGTTTTTTATCTGATAGTCAGTAGCGCAACAGCTAGAAGTAAATAGTGTGAACATGATGGTAAAGCTGAAAATGAATTTCTAGAAAAATAAGTTCAGATCGATACTTTTGAAGTCCTATCATAATAACGTTCGGAGATGACTCAAGCGATCACAGTGGATTTTCTTTATCTTCTGAGGGAAAAAATCAAAACTTTTGGAATGTAATTCAGTGATTATAATGAGAATACGATTTTTAGGGCTCATCATAATCTGTATTGTTTTGAATGTTATTTTATTCTTACATTGTATGTTATTGTTTTATATATATTCTATAAATGCAAATAAATATGGATCTTAGTGGTGCCTAAAATTCATCATAGTTACCTTTCCTTGTAACTATTATTAAATGAATATTACTAGCGTTCTTTTCTAACAACAAACTATTATTTTAACACCTCTACAAGTGTTTCGATCACCAAGTGATCATCTTGAAGGGGAAGATTAAACTAAATATACCTATAATTTTATTCATATGTTATTTATACCATAGATACCCCTTCTAGGTACCTGAGTCTTGAGTGTCTTACATTAATTTCACAATATTGCCTTATTTACTAGTCTTAAATTAATTTTACAATGTATCCTTATGTGACAGTCATGTAACAACTGTTCAAAATTTGCCATCCAGTCTTTCGTGAAAGTCCTTGACGATATCGTTGCTAGTGTTGAAAGCTTGAGTCAATGTATGCCTGATTCCTCGAAGGGACTAGTTCGGGAGAAAGTCAGGAATCAAATTTCCAGGAACATAATAACAAATAAACGGAAACATTTATGCAAAGACGATAAAAACCAGGTGAAAGTTATCAAGCGATTGAAAGACAAAGACGTTTTTTATTTGAAAGCCGACAAAGGTAACAAAGTAATAATTCTGGATAGGTCGTACTACGGAAGGGTCAATACTCTCATCAATAACGGGTATGCGAAATTGTCCAAGCACCCGTTACCAAAGATGATTGCCGAAGTAAAAGACGTCCTCAAGAAATGCGACAACATTCTTACCCCTCAAATGAAATGGAACTTACAATACATGATAATAGGACATATAATAAGGAAGAAAAGTTTAGGTTGAGAATGAACGAAACCTTGACGTTTGAAAACGACGACAACCAAGATAAATATATCACAGTTCCATACCACCAATACACGAAGAATGTTGGAAAGATTTTCAAGGAACTAGGTATGAAGGTGGATTTTAACACAAGTCATACACTACAGAGCCTTTTGGGAAATCCAAAAGACAACGTCGGGAATTCGGAAAAGTCTGGAATTTACGAAATGCAAAATATTATGAACAGACAAAAATATCTATCAAAATAAGATATTAGGAACACCTAGCACACCTAACGTATGGAAGACCTGAAAAGTCAGCAGTGACCCATCATATTCTGCAACAAAACCATTCCATAGACTTTAGTTCATTAAGATTAGTTAGGTACGTTAACAAAAACAGGCATCTAGATGCCTACGAGAGTGTAGAAATAAGTAAACATAATAATATTATGAATAAGAGTGGTGGAATAATACCTAATAGTATACTATATAGCTTGTTGAAATAATATTTTAATTATTTATCAGATTTACCTGAATGACATAAGGACACATTGTAGAATTAGACTCGTAGATAAGGCAATATTGTGAAATTAATTTAAGACACTCGAAGCGCAGGTACCTAGAAGAGATATCTATGGCATGAATAAGGATAACATTGTAAGTATATTTAGTTTGATCTTCCGCTTGAAGATGATCACTTGGGGACCGAAACACGTGTCGAGGTGTTGAAAAAACGGTTTGGTGTTGGGAAAAACTCCAGTAATATTCATTACTTCAACAAAGGTTCGAAATAGTGCATCACAAATATTTCTCAAAGTAATAATGGAATATAAAATTTTAATTTAATTGAACAGTGTTTTATTTAATGAACCAAAACTTGCTACATCAATGTAGGTTCGTAGGGTACTATGGAAGAGCATTTCTTAAGAGATTTTAGATAAGGTATCACAAGTACAACAGCTGACAGCCTTCCCAGGCAGACCGTTTTGAAACCACTTGATGATTAACCCAATATAATTTTTGATGAGATTTATGAGCAGGAGTTTCAACGTACTTCGTTTCGTTCTTTTCGAGAGTCCTTTTACATAAGAAACAGATAACACTGGTGCGAAACATATTATATGTTGGTTATTTGGGAAGTATTTTTTTTGTACAACTGTCATTAAAAGTGACATTTTTAATGGTTGTCAAGAGTATTGAAAGCTGGTGTTTACAAAGTAGCGTGTTGAAAATATTTTCAACACAAGTGTTAAAAGCATTTTTAATATGATTTTACTCGACCAAATAGCAATAAACAAAACATAATTATTCAATTTTCAAGTAAGTTTTATTATGAACAATAGATATAGATACAATTAAATTCTGTTACAAGTGTATTATACAGGGTGTAACGTAAGTACGTTAAAATATCGCTGCATTCCTTGTGCAGCAACATTTGCGAATCTTTTCAGGTGACTTTGCTTTGAAACAAATTCTGCAGTAGGACGGCCACGGACTACAAGAACTGTAGAACTGGAGGAGGCGGTTCTCGAAGAAATTAGTGAACATCCAGAGACAAGTACAAGAAAACTTAGTCAAACTTTAAATGTGAGTCACATGACAGTTTACAGAATTTTAAAGGAACAGCAATCATATCCTCATCATATTCGGCGTGTCCAGGCACTTACGCTACGTGATTTCCAACCACGTATCAAATTTGCTCAATGACTTCAAAGAAAAGTCGAACAAAATCCACAAATTTTATCGAAAATCCTCTTCACAGATGAGGCTAATTTTTCAAGAAATGGTATCATGAACTTCCATAACAACCACATCTGGGCAGAAGATAACCCACATACGATAACGCAAACTCATTTCCAAGACAGATTCTCTTTTGATGTATGGGTGGACATAATTGGGGATTATTTAATTGGGCCCTATTTTCTCCCCTTACGTTTGAATAGAGATGCTTACCTACATGCTTACAACTTATGGAAGATGTTCCCATTGGTCTCCGATATCACTCTTGGTTCATGCACGATGAAGCTCCTGCTCATTTAAGTATGATGGCAAGAAATTTTTTAGACGTAGCATATCCCCAACGATGGATAGGAAGAGGAGGCACTGAGCATTGTCCCCCCGAGGTCATCGGACCTCAATCCCGTCGGTTTTTTCCTTTTGGGAACACCTAAAATCACTAGTTTATGCTAGCCTCATTGAAAACGAGGAAATGTTGAGGGATCGCATTATAGCTTGCTGCGAAATGATAAGAAACACTCCGGGCATTTCTCAACGGGTGCGGAATTCATTTATGAGGACAGCAGAAGCTTGTATTACTGTTGGGGGTCGTCACTTTGAACAGTTGTTGTAATGGTTGTTTCGTTCAATTTTTATATGTTTTTACCTAATAAATAACATAGTACTTCTCCGAATTGTTTTTTTACAAACTCCGAAATGTAGCAGTTTCTAATTGAATAATTGAACGTGACAATTTTTTTTAATTTGGATAGAATAAGCAGTTCGATAATGCTCAGTTTAGAAGAAGTCTGTGCGGGTATACTGCCTATAAAGTTTGATGAAAATAATATCTTATTATTTTCTAGTCGAGTGTCATTATTGTTTATATCTGGTAGGATGGAAGAGCAATATCTGCCTTGATTTGTCATGTACAGATATTGAATTCTGCCATTTGTTATGATAGGTTAATATTTCTTGTACTGAGAAACCTTTCAATGAAAGCATTACATTTTTTATTTTTTTCACCGAAGTATGCGCTGGTCAGTCCCTATCCCCCGAAGCCCCGATACATTCGGGAGGGCGCGCCAGCATTATGAACCAACTACCACTCCCCACACCGTGGGGTAAGTGATCATTGGGCCCGAGAAACATGCTATGCTATCAGCATAGTGCATTAGGGTCTCGGGCGCCTCGTGGCAGTCCCTGCACCTTGTGTTAGGAACCTTCATACCCATCACGCAACTGCGGTAAACTAAGGTGCTGAAGACACCATCCTGGCAAGCCATGATGAACCCCTCAGTTTCCCCACTTGACCTGAGGAAATCAAAAGTCAGGCACTTTGATAAGCCAAGGTCTCCAATGCTATTGAAGAAGACCTCATGCATTGGCTTATCCTTGTGTTTCCGCAGAAGTGAGGTGATCTTTGTGGCTTTCATAATAAGCTTTTTGATGAACGGGTTTCCAACTCGGTGACAGAGTTGTGGTCACCCCGCTCAGTGTCGAAAACTAAACCGAGTTCATCAGCTGCTCCGGCAGCTGCCCTAAAGAGAAATGCTCCAATTCCTACTCTCTCATAGCCACGGATCATGCAGAGAAGGGGATCCGAACTCCTCACGGCTTTACAGGCTGTATCCAGTACCATCCTGTCATGTACAGCCCAACCTCAAAGGTCCACGGCACTGATTATTATCATCATTACCATTATTATCATTATTATTATACCGGGTGGGACAACAAGATTCCTTCAGTCCATTGCTATCAGGAAAAAAGTTTTTCGAATTGCTCCATTTTTTTCCGCAGTCATATCGATAAATACTATCTTTTAAAATTATTTCGTCGCATATTGGATGATTTAGCTGAACGTGGCCAACCAAAGTTATATTTTTTTAAATAGAACACCC